TTCACTAGTCAATATGTTAGCAATTATCGCTGTGGGCGCTTATTAGAGCGGGACGCTTATTACGTCGAATACAGTATGCAATAAGTCTATTATGTTTGGTAAGTCTAGATTATTTCAGTTTGAGCAAATGAAGAAAGTCTCTTGGTTCCTTTTTGATATTTTTTGTGAATATAATTTTTTTTAAATGAAATATGTTCCTTTCAGACAGGGCAATAAAATGTGGGGCCATATAGTCAAAGGGAGACAACTGGCGTGCATGTTAGAGCATATGGTATCAGTCCTACTTATTAATAAAATCATAATTGATTGGTTCCGGTTGGCAATGACTTGGTTTATTTGTCAGAGGCAGAGCTGTTAGTTGATTTATCCTCTATAACATGCTCGTGCACAGTCACATCACACAGGCACAGCCAATATCAGCCATTGATTTTCAATCAAATGTGTCGACACTCCACACATGGAACGAAATTTGTCACTTGTCTGACAGCACAGTAGGCAGCAGGGACACTGGTACGGAGGCTGCAGATATTCTGTAAGTGTCAGCTTTGTTCTGTTGCACTGCTATGTCCCCGGTTGTTGTTTGGGAAATGTTTTAGTGCTTGGTATACCGGGTGATTTCAAATTGTGATTTTTATTATGTTTAATGTTATTCACTTGCCAAATACATGTACCTTCGAAATACTTCTCTAATTCCAAAATGCAAGTTCGCATTCTGGAGTTCTTCTGTGGCAGTGGTGTAACACCAAGTCATCACTTTGTGGGTGCATCCTTGTATCTTTATTGAATGAGTAAATGTTATCCTGTTCCGTCTGCGAAATACGCTCCAGTCGGAAAGCGCACGTTAAACCTCCAAGTGTAAGTAAGTAAGTAAGTTATCCTGTTCCAGCAGCTTGTTTTGTTCCATTTATGAACTTCATTTCCTGCACTGATGATTCAAATTGCTTCTGATTGTGCATTGTAAAATATTGTGATACACTTTAATTCCAATATCCATCCCTACTTTTTATTAATGTGGTTTCCGTTTATCCAGCTTAATGCAATGATATTTTTTAATCTGAGAAAAAGTTTCCGGTGACTAATTTGTATGTTCGTGTGCTGCCCCAAGTTTGTAAGGTACGGTAAATCTGGAAATTAATGCGTCTCCAAATTATTACGACTCCTGACCCCTAGCCAAAAATGCGACTCAATATCAATGCAACCCCCCCCCCCCCCCCCATCCCCAGTGGAATGATACATATCCTAACCTTAATACAATCAAACAGCAAATAGCACCGCTTATTAGCACTGAGTAAAGCACTTCCGTAAAAACAATAAACAGTGTTTTCCTAAAAAAACATCTCACAGCTTATATGTTTACTCTGCTGACTGGCATTATGGAAGTTCAAAGTCTATGAAATAATTGAACCAACAACAGTTCACTGATTTGTATGCGGAGAAGGTGTCATGCACGTCACTATTTAAGTGCAATAATCTTGGGCACAACGTTAAGCCCAATTTCACCTCACCTGCATTGGGTAATTATGCAGTGTTGTTTTCTGTGGTTGTTTTTAAATGTTTCATGCATATTTTATGCAAGCAACTCAAAATTAATTGGGTGATGGTAATATGTTTTCATATTTGCACAAATACTCAGCTTGTCTGAACCATCCCTGTGCAATTGTCAGTAAAACTTGGAATTAAAAAGTTTGTGTAAATGTTGTTATAACTAATGTGATGGCTTGGTGAACATGGTCAAGGAGACTTGTTGTCCACTTATGACGGGACCAAGAAAGAGGAAGAGGATTAATTTGCATTATTGTATTGAATACAATTTGAAAATTAGAAAATAAACCCCATTTTGAACAGATTAACAATTTTTGTCCAATTTGCCTGCGAAGGGTAGCTAGTTTGGAATCCAACTTAAATTATGAATGCAATGTTAAAATGACACTGAATTCAATAAAATAAGAACTTGCACAAAATAATGATATTTTCCCATTTTGCCTGCCAAAGGAAAAATTTTGGAATCCTAGATAAACCCCTCCATAACACTGTAATAATGAAAGTTAACCTGTCACCAAATGTATGTGAATGCGCCCCCTAGCCTAATATGTGACCTGCAAATAGTGCGAGTAGCACTACCTTTGAACTATAAATTTGTATTATTTGTTTGTTTGTTGTTAAACGCCGCACTCATCAATATTCTTGCTATATGACGGCGGTCTGTAAATAATCAAGCCTAGATCAGACAATCCAGTGATTGACATTATGAGCATCCACATGTGGAGTGTCGATCCACACAGTTGGGATCGATGACATGCATCCACCAGGTCAGCAATCAACCGATCCTGTTAGTCGCTTCTTTCGACAAGCATAGTCCCCTTTTACGGCAGACCTATCCTACCCGGGATCTTCACAGGCCCATCCAATTTGGATACGATGACATGCATCAACCAAGCATGGGTTGCTGAAGACCTATGATTAACTAAGACGCCAAGACTGTAGACTTAGAATACCACAATTTAGTGTTGATTGAAAGCAGTTCAACTGATCACAAACATAACTTAACTGCCTTATATGTGATCTAATGTCCATGAAATATAAAGCAGGAAATTTCATATAACGCATATTCAAATGAGATGGGTCGGGTCACCAACGAAGATTGTACAGGTTCCAACTGTTCTTAGTGGTTGTCAATGAGCAGTGTGGTGTATTCACCACGACAGCTGTTACTGTTCTGGACATGTTCTTTATATGGGTGGGCGGTTGGGTGGTCTTGTGGTTGAAGCGGTCGCTCATCACGCCGAAGACCTGGGTTTGATTCCCGACATGGGTACATTGTGTGAAGCCCATTTCTGGTGTCCCCCGCCGTGATATTGCTGGAATATTGCTAAAAGCGACATAAAACCATACTCACTCATTATATGGGTGAGCAGATTATTTGACCAGGTTGACTGCTTGATCAACTTACCCACACTTGACACAGTCAGTACCTGGTGAGAAGAAGACTTAATTTAAAGTTTAGTTACACTGTTTACTGTGAGCTACTGGTAGAGCAAGACATGCTTCCCCTTTAACAAAAACCTTGTGTAAAATATTTTCAGTTATCCATTCTTATGATTTTCACCACAATTTTGCCTTTCTCGTCTAGTGGAATCGATAGTCAAAATTGATTATTCTCTGATGTTGATGTTTTATATTTGTTATACCCTATTCGACGTAATAAGCGCCCAGGGCGCTCTCAAATTTAGAAATAGGGGGCTCTTATTGGAATATTATTTTGGTGAAATTTTGTTGTTGAAAGATCGTTAATTTCGTGGTTTATGCTGACAGCCTGAAATGTTTATTTACAACAGATATATTTAATTGCCCATAAATAAGGGTGCATGTAACACACGAGTGCGGATTTTACGCGAATAAATAAGTATATTGTGTACATTGATCAAACGGAAGGGGTGCTTATTAGGATTGTTCACTAGCCAATACATTAGCAAATATCGCAGTGGGTGCTTATTAGAGCGGGGCGCTAATTACGTCAAATACGGTATATGTCATTGTTTCTGCCCTTGTGCAGTGAACCGGACATGACACTAAACTGCAATAAGTTCAGATGAATATGTGTTACTTTATGATTGAGAGCATAGGACACTTGCATTTTTTGCATTGCAGACAAATCTCGTTAATCCGACACTCGTTAATCCAACAATCGGCTTTACCCGACACTAATGACGGGAACCAATCAAGTCAGTGCTATTTAGACCCGTTTTCCAATAGTCTCCCCCTCTGACTCCGACACAACGAATTTGCAACAAATTATCGAAATCACTCTTTAATCTGTCTCGTTAATCCTTTAAATAATGCTTTAAATAAACAAAACAGGATTAATTACATGCTCAGATTACCTCCATCTCATTAAATTCAGATACAAGTTCTCGCTACAAGAATTTTGAATGAGTCATGCAGTAGTTTTGTGTTAAGCTTTAGAGGTTGCATGATTAGAAAACATATTCCGCTAACAATGCAACATAAAAATATAAATATTTCATTTTTCATTTTTTTATTACAATGTGTTTGTATCGTTATCTATCATGTAGTTGTCCAATTTTTTATCATGGATGTTGATACTTCTTAATTTGTTGACATACTTGTCAATCCAACATAATAATCTGCAGCCAACCATGTCGGATTAATGGGACTTGACTGTAATTAGTGATAATTACATGCTCACATTTATTTCATGATTTACAGTATGACTCCGTCACATATCAATACTTATTACCTACGAGGGCAAACATATCAGGGTTCATAAAAAACATGTGCCCTTGGGTCATATCACGTCATTCGGACGGCATTGTTGACGTCATTCAAATTTTATTGTGACGTGAGGTCTGAATGACGTCACACTAGAAACAACATCATAGCTGAAGATTGTTGACGTATTGACAAATTGACGCTCCTCTGCTGTTGCGACCAGCTGTCTTTGCAAGTAAACACTAAAATTCGTCTCTGTGTGAAGACATCTTCTTGGGTAATAAATAGAGAATTATGTTATTTGTGTTTAGCTCATAAGACTGGTATATTATAGCTTGTTCTATTAGTATTATGTTTATGATTTAGCATTTTGTTTCATGACAATAGGACCCGTGAAGATTCCGGGGTAGAATAGGTCTTCAGCAACCCATTCTTGCCGCAAAAGGCGACTATGCTTGTAAAAGGCGACTAACGGGATCGGGTGGTCAGGCTCGCTGACTTGGTTGATACATGTCATCGATCCCAATTGCGTGGGTCGATGCTCATGATATTAATCACTGGATTGTCTGATCCAGACTCGATTATTTACAGACCGCCGTCATATAGCTGGAATATTGCTGAGTGCGGCGTTAAACAACAAAGCAACCAACCAACCAATCATGACAATAAAATATATTACTCATACCACGATGCACTAATTCTCGCGGGTCATTGTTTCAGTCCTTAAATGAATACCTTATCTTTGGTTTACCATGTGTTGTATTTTCCAGATACTGAGGTACATCCAAGATGGCGGACTCGAAGCATGAAGAAGCGGGGGAGGTGTGTATTATGTGATCCAATGAGTAGACTGATAGTGTATTGTGTGGTTAATATGGTTGAACCCGTACAGATCAGGGTTAGAATTGTTCTTTGGCAACCCATGCTTTAGCAGACTCGCTGACTTTGTTGATGCATGTCATCCCATCCCAATTGCTTAGATCAATGCTGATGTCAATCAGTGGATTGTCTGGTCCAGACTCAATTAAATGGATGAAGACACCTGTCACAAGGTTGACATGGTGGCATAAGCAGTCTGTGAATTATAGATGGGTATAGATGGGATATAACTCTTAATAGCCACTTGTGGCGCTACGATCAAGCCCAGAAATTCCAGCCTAGTTCGGCAAGGGTGGAAACTGGACTTTTACAGTCAGTTAACTCCCTTGCCTCAGGAAGATGGACACTTACCCAGCAGGCTGCTGTGGTGGAGATAACAATATAATCACATTGACTCATTTGGTTGCATATGTAAAATGTATTAATATAGTATTAATTGTAGTCTTATTGATGGTGATTAGTTTAAATTCACATGTACTTGGTATATTACTATTATTATTATTTTTATAGAATAAATAAACATGATGAAGTGTTCAGAGAATGAATGTTGACTTCATGAAAAACGCCATGTAACAGCTGGTGGCATTTCCATGGCAAGCACGGCTAAATGTTTACTGTCATGTGGAAGGATCTACCGGTATGTAAAATAAAAGAATTCTTTTTGTGTTTTTGAATATCATCAGTATAACTGCTTGCAAAATGAGCACATAGGTAAATTGAAACTGCTGAATTTGACATAAAAGCTGTTACTATTGACTTGAAGTTGTTGTGTACTGGAAAAGGGTTAGGCTGCATGAGGTTGTAGACTGCAATAGATGGTAGACTGCAAATAGGTCATAGACTGCAGAAGGTGGTAGACTGCGGTAGGTGGTAGACAGTAGTAGATGGTAGACTGCAATAGGAGGTAGACAGCAATAGGTTGTACACATAATTTTATTTGAAGCATATTATACTCTGCAAAACGAAACCACACAAATAGTTAAATCGTAAATATCTTACAGAGCGTGTCCATAAAAACTGGATACCAAAAATAAATTGGACATTTCTGCATGGATTGGGGATGATTTGTGTGGAAAGATTGGGCTACTTCAGAAATTTGATGAAAAGATAGAAAAATCACAAAACACAAGCAAGTCAGAGCCTGGCGCCGAACCACACCAACATGACATGCACGTGCAACATCGCTTGTTGGGATATACAAACGTTGGGGTTTCATTTGCTTGCCATCGCAATCCTACAGCTTCGCCGTGACGGTAGACGTGTTTATTGGCACCGCAGGGAACATTATGCACAAACTGCATTCAGGAAGTGGACAGATTAAGTGGCGACACTGTGATGATGTGGGCTGCCATCTCCTACACTGGTAGAACAGACCTAGTACAGTTTCTGGGTAATTGGATGAGATTCTTCAGCCACACGTCCTTCCCATTAAGCAACAAGCGAAAGTCATTTTCCAACAAGACAACGACAGACCTCACACGGCAGTGGCGATGGAGCTGTTTACGTCAGTTCCAAAATGAAGCTATGTTGGTGTATGGGTCAAGGCTATTGGTTGGTTGGGTTGTTGTTTAACACCGCACTCAGCAATATTCCAGCTATATGACCGCAGTCTGTAAATAATCGAATCTGGACCAGACAATCCAGTGATTGACACCATGAGCATCGTTCCACGTAATCGGGATACGATGACATGCATCAACCAAGTCAGCGATCCTGACCACTCGATCCCTTAAGTTGCCTCTTACGACAAGCATAGTCACCTTTTACGGCAAGCATGGGTTGCTGAAGACCTATTCTACCCTGATCTTCACAGGTCTCTAGGGTATTGATCAGAGTGGTGATACATGCTCTGGATAATTGTGGTTTCATGTGGTCATTCGTATATATCCTCTCATTGTTTGATCCACTAGGGAAGTAAGCTGTGGGGTGGCCGGTTCACCGGGGCAACAGACCCGATCATGGAGAAGTTCAACGCCTCCATCTCCTATGACAAGAGGATGTGGAAGGCTGACATTGAGGTACTTCAATCTGTTATTTCCTGATTAAAACTTATTAACAAGGCCTGCAGCTTGAATATGTTTATTTATATGAAACTAAATTTCCACGATTGTCAGTGTCATTTTGGTTTTGCCAGGGTATTATTCTTTTTCTGAAACTGTTTGTTTAAAATGTTGCTTTTATAAAATAGTTTTATTTACATTTTGTGTCCAAGGAAAACCAATTATAAGAAACAACCACTTCAAATTTGCTGTAAGTGGAAAAATCTTCATGTTAAACTACACATGCACCTAGACATGCGAGAGTGGTTCCTTGGTTCAACAAATATTGAATACACTTGTCACAGTATGTTTCAATCAGAACTATACTCACGAAACATAAAAACATATAGAGAAGTATGTTTGTTAAGAAGAGATGTTTCCAATGTGTACCTATTTATGACAAAACTAACAAGCAGTCAAGTGTTACCGCAGAGTGTCTTTATACTTTTCATAATATGTTGCACGTGATTTCCGAACTTTACACGCTAATCCTGCACGAGACAAATGGAGCATCTGGAGTCATGGGCCTATGACGTCACATGTGATGCGTTCATGAGCGTCAGTTCACACAACAAAGCAGTATGTTCGTTTGTACTTGAAACCAATCTTATGTCTCTTGAATATGAGTAATTCATATATTAACCAGGATACAGTAAACTACATTTATATCGAACACGCTTATAACCAACTGATGGATATAACAAACTGTTTCTTGGTCCCGTCCATTTGCTGTAGATATGCTGTATATGCTTATAACCTGCAGTTATAACGAACTAAAATTAGTGGTCCCTTTGAGTTTGTTATAACCGTAGTTTACTGTATATGTTTTTTTGCGTTTCTTGTGGTGGTGAGTATAGTTTGATATGTTACTCTGTTGTGTCATGCTTGCCGTAATAGGCGACTAACGGGATCAGGTGGTCAGGCTCGCTGACTTGGTTGATGCATGTCATCATGTCCCAATTGCATGGATCAATGCTCAATCACTGGATTGTCTGGTCCAGATTCGATTTTATACAGATCGCCATCATATAGCTGGAATATTTCCGAGTGCGGCGTTAACCATCAACAAACAAACATGTTGTCTAGTAGGGCATGATCATACGATCATAAGTCCCACAGATGACATCTCTACCATGTCAGCTGGCCTACAGTATTAACTTCTTTGTTCATGTTGACCAACCTTGGATCAGAAGGTCCGTCGTTCGAATCCCATAACGGGACTCGAAACTGTGATTTGGGTCTTTCCATCTGCTGACATTGTTCCAGGGAAGTCAGGCGTATGTGAAGGCACTGGAGAAGGTGGGCATTGTGACGGCAGCCGAGAGGGACTCCATACTTGGTGGCTTGGAGAAGGTGACGTTTACAACCTGAAGGGTCTCTGGTGTGTGTCTCAGAGATTTATCTAGGATCTTAAGCTAAGCACCCATGATGGGCAAACTGGGAAACAGTTTAAAATTACTAATAATTGTAAAGTTCATATGTTCTTACATTTGAGGATGCAATTTAGAAGTCTTTAGAAAATATGGTCTGGTTCACAATTTACAGCGAGATATGGCTTGAAGTGTCATTTTGAATGCTAGTAAACTGCAGTCTGACATTTATGGAGATTCAGACAAATCATCGAGAAAGACGGTCTTTGGTTGGTATCAGTGTAGAATGTACTACCAGTTTTGAGTGTGAAATAGGACCTCCATTCATGGGCAGATAACTCACTTTTGTCTTGGCCCTCTGATGTTGCTAGAACATTGTTAATCACTGACGCAGGAATTTATGATGTGTTTGCAGGTTAAGGAGGAGTGGCAGAAAGATGAGTTTGAGTTGAAGCCAGGGGACGAAGACATCCACACTGCCAATGAGAGGAGGCTCAAGGTTGTTATTTAGAGTTATTCAGGGACAAAAAACTTTTGGAACAGAACATGTTCATGTTTTTTTACTATGTTGATCAGGATTAGGATAAGGTCTAAGTTAAGAAAAACGTCAGTGCAGGAGACGATGGACATTGTTTTGTCAATGCTTCAGGAGTTTATCGGTGCAACAAGATAGCTAAATTAAGAAACATGTCAGTGCAGGTGACGATAGACATGCTTGTGTGAATGTTTCAGGAGTTGATCATTCCGCAGGATGACTAAATTAAGAGAAGCGTCAGTGCAGGTGACGATGGTGTGAATGTTTCAGGAGTTGATCATGCAGCAGGATGACTAAATTAAGAGAAGCGTCAGTGCAGGGGATGATGGTGTGAATGTTTCAGGAGTTGATCGGTGCAGCAGGATGACTAAATTAAGAGCTGCATCAGTGCAGGTGACGCCGGTGTGAATGTTTCAGGAGTTGATCATGCAGCAGGATGACTAAATTAAGAGAAGCGTCAGTGCAGGTGACGATGGTGTGAATGTTTCAGGAGTTGATCATGCAGCAGGATGACTAAATTAAGAGCTGCATCAGTGCAGGTGACGATGGTGTGAATGTTTCAGGAGTTGATCATGCAGCAGGATGACTAAATTAAGAGCTGCATCAGTGCAGGTGACGATGGTGTGAATGTTTCAGGAGTTGATCGGTGCAGCAGGAGGCAAGCTGCACACGGGCCGGAGCCGCAATGACCAGGTGGCCACGGACATGAGGCTGTGGATGAGAGATGCCCAGCTGCAGCTCCGCACTTACCTCACCGACTTCATCAGCGTCATCCTCAACAGGGCTAAGTCGTGAGTACACTGATGAAGAGAATGTCAGCTCAATGCGAGTCGCCCATTTGGGGAATCCAGGTTGGATTGGCCCCCACCAACCTATGATGGTCGTAAGAGGTGATCATGGATCGAGTGGTCAAGCTTGCTGACATGGTTTATTGTGTGTCTTCAGACCCCGATGACATAGTTGCTCATGTAGCAGGGCGTGGAGTCATCCCACAGATGACATCCTTACCTTGTCAGCTTGCTGACGGGGTTAACCTCTTTGGTCACATGGACAAGGTGTCCGACCTCTGATCATCAGGACCGTGGTTCGAATCCCATCACGGGACTCAGAAATTTTATGGCCGCTACAGTCACAATATCAATTCACTGAATTGTCAGTTCCAGATATGATTATTTACTTGCCAATTGTTTATTGAGTGTAGTGTTTTCCAGCAACCAGAACAAACAAGCCAAACAATAATGTCACTTAATGTGTGTCTATTTTTAGTACACTAAATGATCACTGAAATCAAATGAGTCATGCTCTGGGCATATCTTTTGAGAACCCTACCATTGCCTGGTACAGAAACAGTGTATTAAGGAGATGAGACTGTAAAGCTATGGCACATGTTCACTGAGACATATGGTTGTTCTTGTGATTTAATCTGAGCATACGCTGGCTTCCTTTTTGCTTGAATCAGGCTGTGTCTTGATTTGACTACACAGCAAATCAACCCAGTCCCAATTAAAATCAGATCCTAGTTCTCGCTATCGCTGAACAAAGATCTGAGGACATCCCATTACGGGGCACGTCAGAACGACCTTTCATCCGACCAATCAGAGCGGAAAAGTGTTTTCTAATCATGCAACCTTGAAAACGTCAACACGGGGTATTCTGAACGACAGTTACGACCCGTACGACTGATTCGTCAAAATTATCGTCTATCTCTTGCTTCAGTGGGATAAACATTTGAAAGAAGGAGGTGTTGAACAGTATGTGGGAAGCATTGCTATACAATCTCAACCATATATTAGACATTCCGGAATGTTCGTTTGTTCAGTTTTCAAAATTTTAATCAAGAACTGTGTGAACATATTTTTCAAGCGTAATCTGAAATGGAAGCCACCAGGTTGAAACGAGTGCCATAAAGCTCGAGAAAGGTGCTTTCTAACTGGCTGATGTAGACTTCTTGTTGGTCATTTAAGTGATGGGTCAAAGTTCGCGAAAGGTCGTTCTGACTTGACCCGTAATGGGATGTCCTTAGATCTTTGTTTAGCAGCAGCGAGAACTCAGATCTGATTTTAATGAGATTGCAAATCAACCGTGAAGTTAGTGGTGATAGCTTTCTGTATTGACACAAACACAATAAATGATACCAGCTTTCCTTTTTCTTCAAATGTTTTTTTCTTTGAACTTTGCCAATAATTTGATTGAAATATTTTTCAGAGAAATTGACATCTTACTACCTGGTTACACACACCTACAGAGAGCACAGCCAATCAGATGGAGCCACTGGTTGCTGAGGTGAGTCTTTGTGAGTTTGAGTCGGTGGCTGGAAAAATAGTTTCTAAAGAAATAATATTTAATAGAATAAGCTTGAGTTAGAATATAGCAGTGGGAAAGAGAACAGTTTTATTGATCATTTATCACAGTTATTATAAAATTAAGTAATTTGCGATAAAGGTGCATAAATTGAAAATATGTTGTTTCTGATATGTAAGCCCTTTGGAATATTTTTTATGCAGTTCGATTAACATAAACATGGTCAAAGTATCAAATGATACTTTGTCATTTAGTTTATGTACTGGTATGCCAAATGGGTACATGATTGTTGTCATGGAGATGGCAAATCCCTTCCAAACTGTCGTTCATTTGATAGAATTTTATGAGTAGAAGTTGTGATTATGTTCTGTTTTAGCTAGGTGCTGGACAGGTAACTCAGCTGCAACTCGGACTCATGTTAGTCACATGATATATTGTTTAATGACAAAAACTCACTGTAACTCCATGGTTACACTACAAAACTCTGATGTCCCCATTTTTTCTGACTATGCACACATTCCTTCTGACTTTTATGTTTTTGAATAAAGATAAAGCTTCAGTCAAGTTCAGTTTTTGCCAGGGCTTATGTAAGATAATTCCCAGTGACACATTATGTTCCAAGCTCTTGAGGCCTACAGCAGGTACCAGGTAGGGTCGGGTAATAGCGGGGTGGGTACCCGGGTAGTAAATGTGGACTCGTCCCAGCCCTTATTTCTAGCATCAGGGTAGGGCACGAGAGCCCTTTATTACCTGAAGCACCCAAGTTCATAGGGCAGAGTTGCATCCCTTAGGGTGCCAGAAAATTATCGTCGTTGGTTCGCTCTGCTTATGTTTCAAGGTTTGTCAGCACCATATTCTTTCTCGTGGTTTTCACAAGGTGATGAATGTCCAAGACTTATATCACATCAGGCTTTCCTTCGATAATGTGAAATATTCCTCAAAGTGTCATCTCATCCAACTCTCTTAGAAGTCAGCCTCTAAACTTATATGACCACTTCTTCGTCCCTGTTGTGTTCAGCTATGGGTGGATGTTGCAGCGAGATCTGAAGAGACTTGACCAGCTGAGGGAGAGAACAGCAGTTTTGCCCCTTGGCAGGTCAGTACTGGCAGAGTTGTCTCCCCTGAAGAGAGCATGCAGTTTGAAATAGGAGATGATATGTTTGTATCATTTGTGCGTTTGTTGTTTAATGCTGCACTCTGCAATATTCCAACTTTATTATATCGGTCTGTAAATAATCAAGTCACGACCAGACAATCCAGTGATTGACACACTGACCACCGATCCTGTTTGTCACTTCTTATGACCATCATGGGATTTTATATACCAGGGGTGAACTGATACATCGGTGCATCGTGAGTTTTCATGTGACTATGCGATACACAATTCATTTTTCTTTCTGTATCAATACAAGTTGATATACTTGCTAAAATAAGTTACTTACTACTTGTTTAATGACCCCCACCCCTGCCCCCATCCACAACAACACCTTTACCCCAACCCACACCCCCACCAACACCTCCACCCACCCCCACCCCGATCCACACCCCCACTTCCACCCCTATCCAGAACCACACCTCTACCCCCACGCCCATCCACACCCTCAACCCCGCCCCAATCCACCCACACCTCCATCCACTCCCACCCCGATCCACACCCCCACTTCCACCCCTATCCAGAACCACACCTCTACCCCCACACTCATCCACACCTTCAACCCAGCCCCAATCCACAACCACACTTTTCTATCCCCACCCACACACCCACACCCACACACCCACCCCCAACCACACCCACACACACACACCCATTCACACACCCACCCACACCTAAATCCGAATGGTGTTGTCAGTCAGATATTGCAAAATGTGTTGTAATTAGCCTTTCAAGTTCAATATTAAAAACGGGGGCACGGGTGGCCCAGTCGTGTAAGGCACCGCGATTTGCTGTGCAGAGTTGTGTCCCTTGGGCATGCCAGAAACCTATGATCATGGGTTCGAATCCCGGTTCGACTCGATAAGGTTTCTAGGTTTGCCGGCACCATACCTGTGCTCGTGGGTTTCACCGAAGTGGTAAACTTCTGGGGCCTGCATCACTTCGGGCTTTCCTCCCATATTAAGCTGACACGCCGCGATATAACTGCTGTATCGTTTCACCCTTATTATATACTAATTCATGTTAGGTGTTATCACATGCTTATGGCTTGCATTTGAAAAAGCAGTAAATCATGTCATAAAAACAGTTGATTAAAATATTAAAATTTTAAAAATATTCATAATTGTCCAGGTGCTGATTTTCAGTGGCCCTTGGAATGTAGATTGAAGGTCCAGCGACCTGTTGACTGGGGTAGTAATTGCCTGCCTACGAGTATGCATTGTGGGAAATAGGCACTTTACAAATGTACATGTGTATTTGTAGTTTAGAAATTGTTCTCTCAAATTTTGTCTTTTTAACGCATAATTACCTGGTATTGAGATATCAATCTTTTCAAGGTCACAGGTGGCCCAGTTGTCAAAGGCCCAACAACTTGCTGTACAGAGTTGTGTCCCTTATGTATGAGAGAAATCAGTGATCGCGGGGTTGATTTACAGATTCACACTGATCGCGTTTTTAAGTTTGTCAACACCATTCCTGTGTAGCTGCATTTCAACAAGGTGGTAAACATCTTATTTCCGTTTTGTCATGCCGTGATATTACTGAAATACTGTTCAAAGCGGTGTTAAGCTAGTCTCACTCTCTTGTTATTCTTGTTTAGTGGTGCGCTGGCTGGGAATCCGTTTGATGTTGACAGAGACTTCCTTGCTAAAGGTAAAACGAGTGTTCTTATTTCTGTGTCATGTTTCAAAGGTGTTTAGGCAAGAATGTATAAATTTCAAGTGATTTTTTGGCATCCATGAAATCGATGGGCGGTGGGGTAGCCTAGATGTTAAAGCATTCACTCGTCACACCAAAGACCCGGGTTTGATTCCCGACATGTGTACAATGTGTGAAGCCCCTTTCTGGTGTTCCCCACCGTGATATTGCTGGAATGTTGCTTAAAGCGGTGTAAAACCTTGATCACTCCATTAAAGCGAAAAGTATTGAAGTCAATTCTTTACACATTTTATTTCTTGTTGACTGGAAGCAGAAGTGAAAAAATAATGTTTAGCCATGTTCCAAACAAAAAGACTAAATACATATTTTATTAAACTCAGCATGAATATATAGAATGTGGTGTTAATGGAATCGATCTTTGGTTTCAGAACTTGGCCTTGGGGATGTGACAGGAAACAGTTTGGATGCAGTCAGTGACCGAGACTTTGTCGGTGAGTTGTCTGGTCCAGACTTGATTACTTACAGACCGTCGTCAAATAGCTGTAATTTTGCTGAGGGCAGCATTAAACAACAAACAAACAAATAGTGTTGTCGTTTTTTAAATTTCAAAGATAGGGCTACTCGCAATAATTTCGGGACTCATTTTAGGCTAGGGGCTGTTGCTCATCTTTACTTTGTAATGCGTTAACTTCATGATTTAAAAGTTGGTGTGGTTGGTTTGCTGCACTCAAATATTTTAGCTGTATGACAGTGGTCTGTAAATAATCAAGTCTGGACCAGACAATCCAGTGATTGATATCATGAGCATCGATCTACGCAATTGGGATCCATGACATGCATCAACCAAGTCAGCGAGCCTGACTGCCTGATCACCTTAGTCGCCTTTTACGGCAAGCATGGGTTGCTGAAGACCTATTCTATCCCGGATCTTCACGGGTTCGTGGCTTTAAGTAGTTGAACAATCATGAATATTTTATTAACTATTGCTAATTTAGGACCCAATTATCCCAGATATTCCTAATTGCCTCAAGCTGGGGCGTCTCTGTATCCGTTGCTGAGTTTGCCTCCTGTTCCGCCATGTTTCAGTGGAGTTTCTGTTCTGGGCGTCGCTGCTCAGCACTCACCTCAGCCGCTGGGCGGAGGACCTCATCCTCTACTCCACCAAGGAGTTCAGCTTTGTGACGCTGTCGGACGCATACAGGTCAGTATGGATCAGAGTTGTAGCAATAGTGGAGCTTTGTCACGCTCTCGGACGCATACAGGTCAGTATGGATCAGTGTTGTAGCCGGAGTGGAGCTTTGTCACGCTCTCGGACGCATACAGGTCAGTATGGATCAGAGTTGTAGCAATAGTGGAGCTTTGTCACGCTCTCGGACGCATACAGGTCAGTATGGATCAGTGTTGTAGCAATAGTGGAGCTTTGTCACGCTCTCGGACGCATACAGGTCAGTATGGATCAGTGTTGTAGCAATAGTGGAGCTTTGTCAAGCTCTCGGACGCATACAGGTCAGTATGGATCAGAGTTGTAGCAATAGTGGAGCTTTGTCACGCTCTCGGACGCATACAGGTCAGTATGGATCAGTGTTGTAGCAATAGTGGAGCTTTGTCACGCTCTCGGACGCATACAGGTCAGTATGGATCAGTGTTGTAGCAGTAGTGGAGCTTTGTCACGCTCTCAGACGCATACAGGTCAGTATGGATCAGAGTTGTAGCAATAGTGGAGCTTTGTCACGCTCTCGGAGACATACATGTCAGTATTGATCAGAGTTGTAGCAGTAGTGGAGCTTTGTCAAGCTCTCGGACGCATACAGGTCAGTATGGATCAGAGTTGTAGCAATAGTGGAGCTTTGTCACGCTCTCGGAGACATACATGTCAGTATTGATCAGTGTTGTAGCAGTAGTGGAGCTTTGTCAAGCTCTCGGACGCATACAGGTCAGTATGGATCAGAGTTGTAGCAATAGTGGAGCTTTGTCACGCTCTCGGAGACATACATGTCAGTATTGATCAGAGTTGTAGCAGTAGTGGAGCTTTGTCAAGCTCTCGGACGCATACAGGTCAGTATGGATCAGAGTTGTAGCAATAGTGGAGCTTTGTCACGCTCTCGGAGACATACATGTCAGTATTGATCAGAGTTGTAGCAATAGTGGAGCTTTGTCACGCTCTCGGAGACATACATGTCAGTATTGATCAGAGTTGTAGCAATAGTGGAGCTTTGTCACGCTCTCGGAGACATACATGTCAGTATTGATCAGAGTTGTAGCAGTAGTGGAGCTTTGTCAAGCTCTCGGACGCATACAGGTCAGTATGGATCAGAGTTGTAGCAATAGTGGAGCTTTGTCACGCTCTCGGAGACATACATGTCAGTATTGATCAGAGTTGTAGCAATAGTGGAGCTTTGTCACGCTCTCGGACGCATACAGACTACATTGCCAGCAGAATCTATCTCTATGCATCCTGAAGGTAACACATATGTTATCAACCATGAACCACTGTGAGAACAGTTCCACTATGGTGTGGGGCGGTGGGGTAGCCTAGTGGTTAACGCGTTGGCTCGTTACACCGAAGACCCAGGTTCGAATCCCCACATGTGTACACTGTGTGAATCCCATTTTCCCCGCTGTGATATTGCTGGAATATTGTTTAAAGCGGCGGCAAGAGGGTCGACTGACTATAAAAGTCCAGTTTCCACCCTTGCCGAACTAGGCTGGTATTATGGAGTTACATTTTGGCTTGACTAACGAGTCTATGCATAGTCCAATCAAAATCACCCAACGAAATCGAAATTGAAATCCGGTTCGTGAACTGTCATGCAGATTTTGGTCAATTGGAGGATTTGTAAAGCATGCGCACCGCAAAGTTATTGTCAACAGTAATTTTCCAAAATATTCCCAATCAATCAGATCGTCCTGACTGGGCGCCATCATTTTGTTTGAAGCAAATACAAGTGATACGAGAGGTGGAATCTGATTGGTCCATAAGAGAGGCTTAGAAGGGACTTAACTCATAATAGCCACTGGTGGCGCTACGATTGAGCCCAGGAGTTCCAGCCTAGTTTGGCAAGGGTGGAAACTTTCCATAGTCAGTTAACTCTCTTGCCTCAAGAAGATGCGTAAAACCATACTCACTCACTCCACTATGGTGTGGATGTACTTTAAGTGTTAATAAGGCCTTGTGGGCTACAATCACTCTGTCAGTATGATGATGATGATGATGATGATGATGTGACTGAGTTACTGATCATGCGTTGCCATCGACAGCACCGGGAGCAGCCTGATGCCCCAGAAGAAAAACTCGGACAGTTTGGAACTAATCCGTGGAAAGTCGGGAAGACTTTTTGGAAATGTATGTGGTAGAGTAGCCATTTCATTATCAGTGTATGTGGTAGAGTAGCCATGTCATTATCAGTGTATGTGGTAGAGTAGCTATGTCATTATCAATGTATATGGTAGAGTAGCCATGTCATTATCAATATATGTGGTAGAGTAGCCATGTCATTATCAGTGTATGTGGTAGAGTAGCCATGTCATTATCAATGTATGTGGTAGAGTATCCATGTCATTATCAATGTATGTGGTAGAGTAGCTATGTCATTATCAATGTTTGTGGTAGAGCAGCCATGTCATTATCAATGTATGTGGTAGAGTAGCCATGTCATTATCAATGTATGTGGTAGAGTAGCCATGTCATTATCAATGTATGTGGTAGAGTAGCCATGTCATTATCAATGTATGTGGTAGAGTAGCCATGTCATTATCAGTGTATGTGGTAGAGCAGCCATGTCATTATCAATGTATGTGGTAGAGTAGCCATGTCATTATCAGTGTATGTGGTAGAGTAGCCATGTCATTATCAATGTATGTGGTAGAGTAGCCATGTCATTATCAATGTATGTGGTAGAGTAGCCATGTCATTATCAATGTATGTGGTAGAGTAGCCATGTCATTATCAATGTATGTGGTAGAGTAGCTATGTCATTATCAATGTTTGTGGTAGAGCAGCCATGTCATTATCAATGTATGTGGTAGAGTAGCCATGTCATTATCAATGTATGTGGTAGAGTAGCCATGTCATTATCAATGTATGTGGTAGAGTAGCCATGTCATTATCAATGTATGTGGTAGAGTAGCCATGTCATTATCAGTGTATGTGGTAGAGCAGCCATGTCATTATCAATGTATGTGGTAGAGTAGCCATGTCATTATCAGTGAAGTGGTAGAGTAGCCATGTCATTATCAATGTATGTGGTAGAGTAGCCATGTCATTATCAATGTATGTGGTAGAGTAGCCATGTCATTATCAATGTATGTGGTAGAGTAGCCATGTCATTATCAATGTATGTGGTAGAGTAGCCATGTCATTATCAGTGTATGTGGTAGAGTAGCTATGTCATTATCAGTGTATGTGGTAGAGCAGCCATGTCATTATCAATGTATGTGGTAGAGTAGCCATGTCATTATCAGTGTATGTGGTAGAGTAGCCATTTCATTATCAGTGTATGTGGTAGAGCAGCCATGTCATTATCAGTGTTTGTGGTAGAGTAGCCATGTCATTATCAGTGTATGTGGTAGAGTAGCCATGTCATTATCAATGTATGTGGTAGAGTAGCCATTTCATTATCAGTGTATGTGGTAGAGCAGCCATGTCATTATCAGTGTATGTGGTAGAGTAGCCATGTCATTATCAGTGTATGTGGTAGAGTAGCCATGTCATTATCAATGTATGTGGTAGAGTAGCCATTTCATTATCAATGTATGTGGTAGAGTAGCCATGTCATTATCAATGTATGTGGTAGAGTAGCTATGTCATTATCAATGTATGTGGTAGAGTAGCCATGTCATTATCAATGTATGTGGTAGAGTAGCCATTTCATTATCAATGTTTGTGGTAGAGTAGCTATGTCATTATCAATGTTTGTGGTAGAGTAGCCATGTCATTATCAGTGTATGTGGTAGAGTAGATATGTCATTATCAGTGTATGTGGTAGAGTAGCCATGTCATTATCAGTGTATGTGGTAGAGTAGCCATGTCATTATCAATGTATGTGGTAGAGTAGCCATTTCATTATCAATGTATGTGGTAGAGTAGCCATGTCATTATCAATGTATGTGGTAGAGTAGCCATGTCATTATCAATGTATGTGGTAGAGTAGCCATGTCATTATCAATGTTTGTGGTAGAGTAGCTATGTCATTATCAATGTTTGTGGTAGAGTAGCCATGTCATTATCAGTGTATGTGGTAGAGTAGATATGTCATTATCAGTGTATGTGGTAGAGTAGCCATGTCATTATCAATGTATGTGGTAGAGTAGCTATGTCATTATCAGTGTATGTGGTAGAGTAGCCATGTCATTATCAGTGTATGTGGTAGAGTAGCCATGTCATTATCAGTGTCATTGTGCCTGCAGTGATTATGGAGTACTGTAAGTCCCCAGAAGTCTGCTTGCAGTCACTGGTCTGCCTGGCCTAGACTCAACTATTACAGGCCACCATGATATAGCTGGAATATTGCTGACTGTAGCATAAACAACATGCACTCATCACTCTCATGACTACTTCAATTTATGGGTTACTTTAGGAAAAGTCGTTTTTGAAGTGATTGGTTTTTTAAATGAGTCAAATTAAACTGTGATAAATAGGGATGGTTGAATTACTCCCTTGTTCTGCCAGTGTAGCACTTGAACAACGAGTCCTAATAGAATCAATAAAGGGTAATTAGAAAGCAGCATGGGGTTAAATCCCTTACTTGTGTGATGAGTCCCATGACAGATGTATTGTACGTGATGTTGCAGTGTTCGGGATGATTGTATTACTCCCTTAGTCCCATGACAGATGTATTGTACGTCATGTTGCAGTGTTCGGGGTTCATGATGTCCCTGAAGGGGATTCCCAGCACCTATAACAAGGACCTGCAGGTAATTTACATCTACATTTACAGGACATGTGCAGGACATTTACAGGTCATTTACAGGACATTTACAGGTTATATACAGGACATTTACAGGTTATATGCAGGACATTTACAGGTTATATACAGGACATTTACAGGACATTTACAGGTTATATACAGGTCATTTACAGGACATTCACAGGTTATATACAGGACATTTACAGGTTATATGCAGGACATTTACAGGTTATATACAGGTCATTTACAGGACATTTACAGGTTATATACAGGACATTTACAGGTCATATACAGGACATTTACAGGTTATATACAGGACATTTACAGGTTATATGCAGGACATTTACAGGTTATATACAGGTCATTTACAGGACATTTACAGGTTATATACAGGACATTTACAGGTTATATACAGGACACGTACAGGACATTTACAGGTTATATACAGGACATTTACAGGTCATATACAGGTCATTTACAGGACATTTACAGGTCATATACAGGACATTTACAGGTTATATACAGGACATTTACAGGTCATATACAGGACATTTACAGGTCATATACAGGACATTTACAGGTTATATACAGAACATGTACAGGACATTTACAGGTTATATACAGGACATTTACAGGTCATATACAGGACACGTACAGGTCATGTAAGGACATTTACGTGACCTCTACAAGACATTAAGATTTACAGGACATTAACAGGTCATATACAGGACATTTACAGGTTATATACAGGACATTTACAGGTTATATACAGGACATTTACAGGTTATATACAGGACATTTACAGGTCATTTACAGGACATTTACAGGTTATATACAGGACATTTACAGGTCCTATACAGGACATGTACAGGTTATATACAGGACATTTACAGGTCATTTACGTGACCTCTACAAGACATTAAGATTTACAGGACATTTACAGGTCATTTACAGGTCATTTACAGGTCATATACAGGACATTTACAGGTTATATACAGGACATTTACAGGTTATATACAGGACATTTACAGGTTATATACAGGACATTTACAGGTCATCTACAGGACATGTACAGGTTATATACAGGACATTTACAGGTCATATACAGGACATTTACAGTTATATACAGGACATTTACAGGTAATTTAAGAACATTTATGTGACATTTACAGGTCATATACAGGACATTTACAGGTTATATACAGGACATTTACAGATCATATACAGGACATTTACAGGTTACATACAGGACATTTACTTGACCTCTACAAGACATTAAGATTTACAGGTCATATGTATCGTGATATATCTGGAGCTGAAGTGTTTGACCAAAATCGCTGGTATTTTCTACATATCAAAGTAAATATTACGATGTGAAAGTCAGCAAGATCAGTAGCCGCCATTATGTAGCTATGGATACTGGGGAAATAACAATGTTAGAGAAAAGTCACTCTTCTCAGAAATTTAAATGTTTACAGACAATGATTCTTGTTATACCTCTATTAAAAAAGAATCTTGAAATTCCATTCGTTAATCTGTACCACGTAACGAAACAATACATTTCAATGTAGACCCCCAAATCATGTGACTGACACTGACCTCGAAGATTGACTCGTCACATGATCAGTATTGACCTGTCATGTGATGGATATTGACTCGTCTGCTAGAAAACAAGATGGCATCTAGCATACTAACGTTTTACGGTTCGCAGCTAAGTTACAGTAATGAAACAGAGCAGGGTTTTAAGGCTTCATAAACTTTCAAGTGAATTTCAGTACAACATAACGATTGATTACTCTTGACAAGGTCAATATGCGAAAACGAGGACCCTCTGACCCAACCCCTTCAGCGGTCTGACCGGACCTCAGCCTCGGTCTGGTCAGACCTCCTCAGGGGTCAGGTCCTTGTTTTCCCAATTTGACTTTGTCAAGAGTAATTATTTTTATTACCTAAGAGGGCAAACATATCAGGGTTCATAAAATCATATGTGCTCGTAGGGTATGATCACGTCACGAGACAACAGTGTATTTTTCCGTCATACGGATGGCATTGTGGACGTCATTCAAATCTTATTTTGAAGTGAGGTTGGAATGACGTAACGCGAGACACAACATCATAGCTGAAGACGTCCTTCGACAAATTGTGGTTCTGCTGCTGTTGTGACTTGCTGTCCTTTTAGGTAAACACTAACATTTGTCTTTCAATGTAGACGTCTTCTTCGTTAAAAAATAGAACATCATATTTATGTTCATGTCTATGTTTACGCTCTCACTCAGGAAATAACGGGATTTAGACACTGATGTCGTGAACAAAGTATGACATGAACACGAATATGATATTGTCTATGTACAGTACATGTGGATGAGTAATTCTCGTGATTGTTGGGGTGTGGTTGACTCCACCCTGGTGATGAGATCACTGACTAACGAGTTGCCCGATTGCTTTACTTAGGAAGACAAGGAGGCCATGTTTGACACCTATGACACCCTGGCTGGCATTCTACAGGTGGCGACGGGTGTCCTCTCTACCCTCAAGGTTTGTTACTGTTTGCATTGAAACATAAACAGAGCATATGTTTATCACACACACACAGTTTGCCAAAAGTTTGCTGGCCCCTGTGTTATTGTGAGTGAGTGAGTGAGTTGGGTTTAACGCCGCTTTTAACAGTATTCCAGTTATATCACGGCATGACGGCTTAATACACGTTGGTTAATATGAAGAATTACTCATATTCAAGAGATATAAGATTGGTTGAATGCACAAACGAACATCCTGGTATGTTGTGTGAACCGACGCTGACGAACGCATCACATGTAACGTCATAGATCCATGAATCCAGATGCACCATTTGTCTCGTGCAGGATTAGCTTGTGAAATTTGGAATTCACATGCGGCATATCGTGATAAGAATAAAGACACTCTGTGGTAACACTTGACTGATTGTAAGTTTTGTCATTAAGTGGTACACATTTGAAACATCTCTTCTTAACGTACATATCTCTCTATATGTTTCTATGGTTCGCGTCTGTTTTGGCGGTGAGTATATTTATCTTCAGCTTTATTGTTATTTTGAAGCAGTGAGGTGGCCGCGTGGTTAAAGCGTTCACCCATCTTGCTGAAGGCCTGGGTTCGATTTCTCACGTGGGTTCATTTCTAGCGTCCTCATGATGTTGCAGGAATATTACTAAAACGGTGCAGAATCCACGATTGATATGTTTCAGATCTACCCTGATTCCATGAGCGCAGCGCTCAGCTCTGACATGCTGGCAACTGATGTGGCCTACTACCTCGTCAGGAAAGGGGTAAGGTGTCCATGTTTTAGATTTTCAGCCATAAAATCGCCCAGAGCTGTGGTAGTTCAGAACGTATGTCATCAGTTAGATCCAGCTAGCTTTCTCATCAGTGGTTCATTGAGGGAGAATACAAATTTTGTTTTTCAGTAGTTACTGTTCTAGCAGGGTAGGGATGGTTGGGTAGCCTAGTGGTTATAGGGTTCACTCGTCACACACAGGCTCGGGTTTGATTCCCTACATGGGTACAGTGGTTAAAGGGTTCACTCGTCACACACAGGCTCGGGTTTGATTCCCTACATGGGTACAATGTGTGATGCCCATCTCAGGTGTCAGCAGCCGTGATGCTGCTGGAATATTGCTAAAAGCGGCATAAAATATCAGTCGCTCCCTCCCTCACTCACTCAAGCAGAGTAGTGGCCATGTCTTTGTGCGCTTGTGAGACACTGATTTCCGTGCCGATTACAATAGGGTTGTAATATTGCCTCCATTATCCCTCTATGTCATATACATGAACCATCTACAGTCAAGTCTTGTTAATTCGACAATCGGCTTTGTCTGACACTAATGATGGGAACCGATTAAATCAGTGCTATTTAGACCCGTTAATCCGACAGTCTCGCACTCCGACACGCCTAATTTTCAACGAATTGCTGAAATCACTCATTAATCAGTCTCATTAATCCGACACACTGATCAGCATTCTCCGTGGTCATCTGCCCGCGAGTATACAGCCGGTGTTTTGATACAATTAACAATTAATGATTTAAATAAACAAAACAGGTTTAATCACATGCTTAATCTCATTAAAATCAGATACAAGTTATCGCTACCGCTGAGGATATCCTATTACAGGTCACATCATAATGACCTTGACATTAGCCACTAAGAAAGCAGCTTTCTTAAGCATTGCAATCTCATTAAAATCAGACCTTAGTACTCGCTACCGCTAAACAAAGATCTGAAGACATCCGATTAGGGGTCACGTCAGAACGACCTTTCATCCGACCAATCAGAGCTTTGCTTACCAGATTATGAAAGTGACAGTCGGAATGTGATTTCTAATCATGCAACCTCGAAAACTTTAACACGGGGTATTCTGAACGATAGTTACGGGTTAAACGACAGAATCCATACAGTCTAGACCATCTGTTAGCCATTCCAGAATGTTCTTTTGTTCAGGTTTAAAATTTGTAATCGAGAATTTGTCAAAATATGTTTCGAAGCGTAGTCGCCAATTTGAAATTAGTGCTGTAAAGCCCGAGAAAGCACCCTTCTGATTGGTCAATCCATTGGCCGGTCAAAGTTCGCGCAAGGTCAGTCTGACGTGACCCGTAATGGGATGTCCTCAGATCTTTGTTTAGCGGAAGCGAGAACTAAGATTTGATTTTAATGAGGTTGTTAAGCATTGGGGCACTAGTTTCAAACTGGAGACTTCCATTCTAGACTATGCTTTTAAAAGTATTTTGAATCAGTCAAACAGCCCGTAACAGTTGTTTTGTGTTGAACTTTAGAGGTTACATGATTAGAAAAACACATTCTGCTGACAATGTAACACAACAATTTGAATATTTCTTTTTTCCTTTTTTTTATTACAACATTATCTATCATGTAGTTGTCCGATTTTCCATCACAAACATTGATTCTACCTAATTTCATAGTCGTTAATCCAACATAATCATATGCAGCCAACCATGTCGGATAAACGGGACTAGACGGTACAAGATTTAAAACTTAATTGAGATATACTGGATAACTTTTGAAAAACAGTGAAGTATTGCAATCACAAAGCTTGTTCAGGGAAATGACAATGAAATAGTTTTTCGACACTGGGGTGAGATCCTGTGTTTGCCTGTGCAGGTTCCGTTCCGTGAGGCCCACTCATTGGCTGGCGGCTGTGTGGCGCTGGCGGAGAGGAAGGGCTGCGTCATGGAGAAGCTCCTCTTGGAAGACCTCAAGACTGTCAGGTACAGCAATAAAGTGAAGTGAGCCGTCCCCGAGGGTCGCGGCCAGCATGTTGATGTGCATGTCTATATGCACGGGAATCACGCACGTTGAGACGCCCAACGCTTACATCATATTCGTGCGTGCGTGATTCCCTTGCACCCTTTCGAGTTGAGTTGATTGGGTCAACTGTGTCATATTGCCCTGTGACGAAGGGTAGCATTATGCAGATGGCTGTTTCAATGAATGCTCATTCCACCCATGACGAACAGGTCTGGTTGTTGAGGAAATATAGTGATAGCTAAATAGACAGATTTTTTATTCATGCACCGATTGTCTTTAAATGTAATATCCAGTTATGTTTGACTGTTTAATAATCTCATACCAACTTTGACTGGAGTAGGTCCGATAGTTTTTCAGATATTGTAGTAAACGTTGGTACCTTAAATTACCTTCCAGACTGTAGGGCTGTAACGATTCACTGATACCTACGATATCATCGTTACTATGATGCACACGATTCTTGAACGTGATATGCTATAAATAGAACAGGAACTAACAGAGTGACTGACCTCCCATAATGTCAGTAGTAGCATAACCATGCTGTAACCATGGCAGCACACGAGGACATGGTGACTGAGGACACTTCGACTGACTGCTACATTTAATAACCATCCCTTCGATGAAAACCTTCTTTTTTTCGGTGTTCATTGTTAAAGTGTTTGAGATGATAATAAATGAATGCATGAAGAAAGAGGTTCTAGAGCTGAATTTCAGTGATTTCATCATTTCTTACTATTTGATGTGGTGTATCGTGATACCTGTACTATTGTCAGTCTGTATCGTGATACAAATCGTTACGCAAGATACCAAGCGATACTCAGCTCTAGTGACTATCCTAAAACCTGTGTGTGCATGGTGGCCTATAGATGAGTTGCATCCCTTGCCTGTATCAGGATCTGCTGATCATGGGTTTGAAGTCAACATTCACCTTAATTATGGTCCTTGTCAGCAACACATCCATAATATTAGGTTTTATTGAGATAGTAAACATCTGCACCTTTAGGCCACCTCCCACATTACGATTTGACATTATTTATCACTGTAAAAGCAGTTTAAACCCCATGTCACTCATTCACTACGTTTGTACCGGCAGCCCTCTGTTCGAAAGTGATGTGGCCAATGTGTGGAACTATGAGAACTCGGTGGACCAGTACACAGCCTATGGTGGAACCGCCAAGTCGAGTGTGGAGAAACAGATCTCGAACCTGGAAACCTGGCTCCAAAGTTGCCGACTATAACCATCATCATGTGCCAAGGTTAAAAGTTCAGATGATATATTTTTTTCTTAGGATAAACTTTTAGTTTTCGTTCATCTTGATACCTTCAGTGTGACCTTTGTCGTGGGTCACTGTTGGTCTTGTTAAGCGTTGATTCCCAAATTGAAACAATATATTAACCCAGAAATCTCAAAGTAAAAGAACCCACAAATAACCAACATGTGGTATAAATCTACAAATGTATTACAAAAATTCACTAGGTTTTACAAATCAACACAAATTACTACACAGCAATTACAATGGCAGTACACAATATAGTGGTAGTACAATATTCAATGGCAGTTCACAATAGAGTGGTAGTACAATATTCTATAACAGTATAATAATATGATGGCAGGGGTCAGTATCAAATACAAAAAATACAGTGGTGAAAGCAAAAGTCAGTGATAATATATATATTCACCAACAGCAACACTAGTCAAGCTTCAGTTATGGGCAAGGCAGGGAATCAGGGATGATGAGCGATCCTCACATGAAAGCTGGTTCTGATGTGATGAAAATGTGTGAGTGATACACAAACACGCTCTTGTCGGCTTATGAAGGCTAACCAGCTACTGGAAATTTCCACATGGTGCCCTCTCAACATAAAACATTACAGAAATTTTGGTAACATACTATCACCGTCCACGGTATACCGGACCGGAAGTTTACACACTGCACTAGCATCTAAATATAGTACCTTCCTGACGACTGATCACTGTCCAAGCACAATGCAATGAGCCTCTACCGAATCTCAACAGAAACAATGTAACACAGTTACAATCATTGTTTAACAATAAAATACACTGCCATATTTATAACAGTCTGTTTATCCTAGGAATACACTATGGGAGAGCTCTGTGTATCAGTCCATATCAACAATGTTTACAGGGAAAAGCACAGAGATGCTGTTACCACAGCTATGTCTATCCCAGAAGCTGAAACACTTTTCTCTTCCTAAACTGATAAAGGCAATGGCTTGAAGATGTGTGTGAGTGGGGGAAATGATTACCCCCAGTTTAAGTGGAACGGCTGTATGCTTATGGACGTCAGCATGAAGGACCAATGTACTATGATAAGTCTCCAGGGCACACGGACAATTGACAAGGAAGGAGTTTATTCAAACCAATCACAACAAGTGTTTTCACATGCTATTTTCGTAATTACTTTGCCTGTGGTAGTGTTTACTTTGTTAAAAAGTCTTGTTGTTTATTTCAGTAATTTTCATATTGGTAATGAATAGGGGTGAAACGGTACATCGGTACACAGGTGCATCATGAGTTTTCATGCAATGATATGATACGTTTTTCTTTCTATGTCCATACAAGTCAATACACTTGCTAAAATAAATTACTTACTACTTGTTTAATGACCCCCACGCCAACCCCCCCCCCCCCATCCACAACCACACCTCTACCCCCACCCAGGCGTTTTGGTCAGTCAAATATTACTAAAAATAGCCGCTACATACATGAATCTATAGCTAGCTCTTCCTTTGGAACCTGCCCTGAAATATTTATAGTCAAGAAGTTTCCATGCGTGACCTGTGTATCGGGATAAACATCGTGCCTTGACCTTGCTGCATCGTTTCACTCCTAGTAAATAACATGTACTGACATTAATCTTGTCTTGTTGGGTTAGCTTAGAAAGGTGAGCTTCAATACCTTGGCGCTGTTTTTGTTGTTGAAGTTTGTTATCTCAACAGAATGAGAACCGAGAACATTTGTATGAGGACCAAATAGGGTATTTTATTTGCGCTTATTCAGCATTTTATTATCAAACTCCCGTCTCTGTGTATAACTACAGTATGTTTGATTGTTAAGAGGCATACAATGTCATTTTTTAAATTATAACTTCGCATTCCTGTGATTTGTTTTTGTACTTGTACTTAATTTACTGCCATCGTTTTACTTCCAATGTTTAAACTGCTGTTTGCTGTATCATCTTTCCCAGACGTTAATCTTGGCTTATATGAGTTACACGTCATATGCATCGTGGAGATATATTCGGCACATATACTGTGTCTAAATGGCTTTCATTGCTGATCAGATCATGTGATATTGTTTTTATTATTGATTACATGTTCACGATCTGTTTAGTGATTAATTGCTTGCGATTTGTGTTCATGATTAAATGCTTGTAAATTGTTTAATAATTAAATGCTTGTGAAAAATATGATCATTTAATGCTTGTGAATTGTTTTATGATTAAATGCTTGTGATGTGTTAATTGATTAAATGATTGTAATTCTTTTAATGATTAAATGTCTGTAATCTGTTTAATAGTTATATGCTTGTGATCTGTTTATTGATTAAATGATTGTTATTTGTGTTTTGATTAAATGCATATGATTTGTTTTACATTGGTGAAGCCTGCCACGTGTGCATCATATGTACAAAGACAGCTGTGATGGTTAAATGTATTAATAAACAAGTTGAGAGGCAACACACTTTGTGGTTATTGTCAGAAAGGGCAAGGATGAGAAATAGCCCATGTGAAGTGAAAATGGCTTTTATGAAAGAGAATTGCATCACAAGGATTTGAATTAGATTTGATTATAAACCAAACAAAAAAACAAATTCTTATGTTTGTCTGAACCGGTTGGAATTCTTAGCAGAATAAGTCCACAGTACCCTGACTGATGTGGGGATTGCTAGGTCACAGGCTATGGCCAAAAATGCTGAGCGTTTGACTAGGGGAACTAAATCCCAGTGATAGTCACGACTAAATAGTAAATCGCAACGATAGTGTCAACTAAATAGTAAATCCCAAGGATAGTGACTACTAAATAGTAAATCCCAACGATAGTGACAACTAGATAGTAAATCCCAACGATAGTAACGACTAGATAGTAAATCCCAACGATAGTGACGACTAAATAGTAAATTTCAACGATAGTGACGACTAAATAGTAAATCCCAACGATAGTGATGACTAAATAGTAAATCCCAACAATAGTGACGACTAGATAGTAAATCCCAATGAATGTGACGACTAGATAGTAAATCCCAACGAATGTGACGACTCGATAGTAAATCCCGACGATAGTGACGGCTAGATTGTAAATCTCAATGATAGTGACGTCTAAATAGTTTCGATCACCAGAATAACAATACATCTCTGTAAGTGTAGAAATGATGCAACGCAAATACAACCAAGAACCTGTCAATGTGACAAGGGGCGTCGTTGAGCCTGTTTCTTCTTAATACTGTTTTAGTATAGAGTTCTTACAATTTGATCCCATTGTCAGTCGCATACCTGCCAGATCAGTGAGTGAGTCAGTATGGTTTTACGCTGCTTTTAGCGATATTCTAGTAAAATCACGGAGTGGGACACCAGAAATGGGCTTCGGACATTGTACCCGGATCTTCGGAGTGACGAGGGAACGCTTTAACCACCAGGCTACCCGCCCGCCCCCTTCCTAGATGAGAGCTGTTGAAATACGTGATTCTGACAGGGGAGACAATAAGGCTGTGTGGCGCTTTAGTAAACTGTGTGCACCAAACAGGTGAGTGAGTAAGTTTAGATTTATAGTCACATTGGCAATATTTCAGCCATATCGTGACTAAATCAAGTTGTACAGTAATTATACATAATTATAGACTATAAAATCTGTTGAGGGACGTTAAAAGGACTATATTATTACAGAGATAGATTTAAAACTAGTATGTAACCATAAAGTGTGACTATTAATAATGATACACTATACAAATGGGCTATGGATCACCAGCAACCAAAGTTAGACCACCATACTATGGTTGGTTTGTTTGTTTGTTGTTTTACGCCGCACTCAGCAATATTCCAGCTATATGACAGCGGTCTGTAAAAAATCGAGTCTGGACCAGACAATCCAGTGATTGATATCATGAGCATCGATCCACCCAATTGCGATCGATGACATGCATCAACCAAGTCAGCAAGCCTGACCACCCGATCCCGTTAGTCGCCTTTTACGACAAGCATAGTCGCCTTTTACGACAAGCATAGTCGCCTTTTACGGCAAGCATAGTCGCACCATAGTACGGACCATGGGGACTTACGGTACATCTGCTTCCTGCTTGGTACCAGGATTTCCACCATCTGGCTACTGATGATTGTTAGAAAGTTTTAGCCAAAAGATTTAAAACCTACAATTATTCTACGATTAAAACCATGGAAAATGAAACATACTTTGAATGTATTGGGAATTACGTACCCTCTCAGGGGGACAATTATTTTATGTTACTTCAACCCCCTTTGAAGGTACAGCCACTTACAATCACAGTTATATAATCTTTCTGCCAAATTGAAATCACTTACTTTTCACAATGCATATTATCAAAATGCATCAGCCATAGTGTTACCTGCAATTCCAACATGACTGGGCAACCAGCAAAAGACGATGTATTGGCCAGTTGCAAGTTCATGGTATAATTCTAAAATAACTTAAATGAATGGATGACTTGAAGAGCTCGTTTTTATTGCCTGTAGACAATCTAGTGAATCTGACGAGGTGATGAACCCTTTGCAGCTGGATTGTTTTTGAATTTATTCTAAAGCCGTTGAAATGGCTTTGGCTTCAGCGGTAAAAATTGAGCTATGGTCTGGTAATCGGGATGATACGGAATAATAACAGCAGCACTGGAGACTTTGCCACCATCCTTGGATCCATCTTTAAAAATAGAACGGTGGGATTCATATTTAGTTCTAACTTGTATATATTCTTGTTGATATATTATTTGTGTCTGATTTTTAAAAATGTGTAAGTAAAGTCTACTTCCGGTCTGATAAGTTGCCAAGAAGTTGAAGATTAAAGACTGAAAGGAGAAATATTATCTGAATCAATATTGGCAGCTGTACTGTGGGGTTTAATTCGTATTCCTAGTGGTGGAACCAGCTTAGACTTACTGTGAAAAAGGTCTTCGTAAAGGGGTTCAAAAACACATTTGTAAGCTGGGTTTAATGGGTTAGAATGGAATTTTGTAATGTATTGAAGTGATAATTTGATTCAAAGCGCCGTTGATTCAAAGATGGTTCATCAGCTTCTACATACATATAGGCTATCCACGGGAGATGTTCGAAATGTGCCAAGACATAGTCTTAGGCCCTGAACAAATGCTGAAGGTGACTTGAATCAAATTTTTGTAAATTGCTCTTACAGGCTCCACCATAAACGATGGAGCCATAATCTAATTTAGAGCGGATCAGAGACCTATACCAGTGGAGGAGGCTTCTCTGGTCACCTCCCCACATTGAATCAGCAACAACTTTCAACAAATCTAGAGCCTTCAGGCATTTAGTTTTGAGATAATTAATATGTAGCTTAAGAGTCAAATGATGATCGAAAATGAGACCCAGGAACTTGGCCTCTTCTACAGCCTTGATAGAGTGCCATGTAAAAATACTTCTGGATCCTTCTGGTGCTTGTATTTCCTACACAAATGACTACAGTTGGTCTTAGCTTTTGAAAACTTAAAACCATTTTCAAGGCACCATTTTTGGAATTTGTTGAGACACAGCTGCAACTGTCTCTCGATGGTAGGCATATTTTTGCCACGACATGGAATATTAACATCGTCCACAAAAAGGGAACCATCAACCTTTGACAGACTATCAATCTTTATACTAAACAGAGTCACAGACAAAATACTGCCTTGTGGGACACCCTGATCCTGATTATAATGGTCAGACAGGGTGGAACCCACACGAACCTGAAAATGTCGGTCTGTTAAAGAAAGGGATATATATTGAGGCGGACAAGCTCTTAATCCCAAATCATGTAGATCTTTTAAAATACCATGCTTCCATGTGGTATCATACGCTTTTAACTAAATAAAAAAAAGATTGATAATGCATGCTGGTTATTTACAACTGCATTTTTTACAAAAGATTCTGAACGTACCAGATGGTTAATGGTACTTCTATTTGACGGAAACCACATTGAATGTTAGCTAAGAGATTGTTGGTTTCCAAGTACCACACCAGCCGATTATTTACTATTCGTTCCATGGTTTTGCACACACAGCTGGTTGGTGATATTGGTCTATACTTAGATGCGAAAGTATGGTCCCTACCAGGTTTAGGTATGGGAACAACTATTGCATTACGCCACGATGGAGGAAAATCTCCCGATGTCCAGATCCGATCAAATATATCAAGACGTGACTCTAAACATGAATCAGGCAAATTCTTCGGGCAGATAGTGAATATTATCCACTCCCGCTGCAGTATCGTGCGCTTGACCTTGGGCAGTATTTAGCTCATGGAGTGAAAATACCTTATTATAATCTTCTCCATTTTGAGAAGTAAAACAAACCCTCTTCTTTTCCTGTTGTTTCTGATATTTTTGAAACTTAGCATCATAATTCGATGATGAAGAGTGTTTGGCCAGCGTTTCGCCCAATTTATTTGCAATATCCAGTTTATCTGTTAACAGAATGGTCACCTTCCTTGAGGTGGTGGACGATCGATTTTGATACTTTGCCTTTAATTTTTGCAATCATGTTCCACACCTTGGATATTGGTGTGCGAGAATTAATTTGGTGACAAAACTCCTCCAGGACTTACACTTATTCTGTTTGAATGTACGGCTTGCCATGGCATTTGTGATTTTAACATGATTCAAATTGTGTACAGTTGGATGTTGGCGGAAATATGTCTCCGCATTTTTCCTGCACTAATTATTCTGTTTGCACTCTTTATCAAACCATGGTTTCAAATGTGTAGATTTGCAGAGGACTTAGGAATGGTTATATCAGCAATTTCATTCAGCTTATCCGAAAACGATTGAAAAGGGTTTGTAACAGTCCTGAACATATCAGGTGTTAATCCTAAAGTAATTCCACCTTGATGTAGGTGGAACATCAGATGGATTATTTGCTGTTAATATTGTAGGAAAATGGTCGCATTTACACAAGTCATCGTGGACCGACCAAGTAAATTTATTTAATAGATTTGAATCTGTTAGTGACAGATGTGACAGATCCATCATTGAAAATGCATACATTGTTATCGGAATCCGATCTTCAAGTAATTCCCCCCTAACAATAACTTTAACACTTTCTCATAATGAGATTTGCCGTTAAAGTCACCCATGATCATGCAGGGCTTAGAGAGCTGATCATATAAGGACTGAAGATCCGATCTCTGAAGCACAGAGGAGGGAGAAATATACAGAGAACACAGTGTAAAGGTTATGTGTAAAGCCAGTCTCACTGCAACAGCTTGAAGATGAGTTTGAAGTGAAACAGGGCTGTGGATCACGTCCTGCTTCACCGAAACAGAAGATCCTCCAGTAGCTTTAACACCTGGTGGAGAAAATGAATGATAGGAACTACCGACGCAAATCAAAGGTGTCGGTCTGTTTGAGATACGTCTCTTGAAGACAGATTTCTGATGGCGTAAACTCTTGTATTAAAAGTTGTAACTCGTTAATATTGGTTCGAAGACCTCTGCAATTCCACTGAACTAGTGGAGTGGAAATGTTCATGTTACGGGTGGGTGAACAGGAGATCTATTTGTCCCATTTCGAGGCGACTTACTTCTGTTGCGCCCTTGGGAATGTGGAGAGACATCCATGTCCTCCAAAGTTTGATACCGATTATAAATTTTAATAGGGTCACGGTGACCCTTTGGTACACGATCTTAATTTTTATTGCGTAGTCAACGTTTTTGTTTGCACTTTTAACAGGGGCTGGTGTTGATGCCAGTTCTGGCGCTGGTGCCAATGTTGGCATAGGCGCTGTTGCCATTTGAGTTGAGACTGGAGCTGATAGTGATATATCACCTGTTTGGGAAGATGAACTGGATTGTACAAAAGAATAGGCGCCTTTTGAGACCCAAGTAATATCGGTCTGGCATTCAACAGACATGACAGATTTGGCAGGGATGCATTTAGGACACTGCTGAGGTTGGAGAAACAGAAGCCATGATCAAACGCTTTGCTTCGGGAATGCTTCACACATTGTACCCATGTGGGAAATAGAACCCGGGCATTCGCCATTGTTGTTTATAGGCTTAACTGGCCTTTGTGATACATGTAGTACGAGTACCTGAGATTGCAATACAGTTATAAATAATTTTGATGTAGTTGCTTGACTACTAAAACGATCATCTTTAAATGATGGAAATATGTTTGTGCTCGTGTGAAATGGAAGGCGATATTTGTACCTATATCGGCAGAAGTTCTGTGTCTCAAAATAATAAAATACCAGTAATTATGAAACTAGTCTACGTCTAAATATGCAAGCTCCTTCCCAGCGAACCGGCTATCGCTGTGAGGAGCTTGCTAACTATGCAAGCTCCTCACAGCGATAGCCCGTTCGCCTAGCTCTCCATACTATGTTACCGAGAGTGTAACGAAGGTGTCACGCGCTGGGAAAGAGCTTGCTAAATTTGTTGGGAAGGGAGACAACGCAACAGCATGTCAAAACATGTACATCAGCTGAAGAAATGTTGAAAATGACGGATGAAGACGATTCTTCCGTTGAGGAAAATATTTCAATACGAGAAATCGCACCAAGGCCTGTTCCAAGGGCGAAGCATCCTTTCATCACGCATGTCAGGGAAGGATACGAACAGTCTCGCACAGACCCCATGCCCCGACAGCCAGGGGGCCAGGTGGGGATTGATGCTGTATATTAGGCTTGATAAAATACATATTATATATACATATCTAAAATATATTTAATCACTGAAAATATAAAACAGAAACAATTTTTCCAGCTCACATGCAACAGGAATACAAATGTATGGTCATGTTTGACCCACTCATGGTGTCCCGTTGTCCCTGCTGTGTTCCACGGTTGCGGAATAATTTGCAGAAATGCCCACTCTGTGCAGAAATGTTGCAGAAAATAACATGTGTAAAAGTTGCATAGGTTTACTGAAACGAACAGTCATTATTTGAATTGTGTATTGATTTAATTCATTAAATCATTCCAAATAATTATTTAAGGTGGGTTTTTTTCTACGGAAAAAAGAAACTCTAGACAGTTTACAAATAATCTCTTAAACATTTTACGTTTTGAGAAATGGTTATTTTAAAGTCAAGTTGACTTTTGAATCATTGCTTAGCAAAACCCAGATCACTAGATTCACTTCAGTGAGCTATTCTAGCCACAGATAAGTTTATACACAAAATGCTTCCACAAGTCCAACAGTTGCAAAACTACAAAATTCATGAAAACAAAGTTTAAAGTTTGCAGAATTAATAAAATTTTGGTTGCAGAACTTACAAAAATTGGAAGCAGAATTTTTATTTTTTGGCGACAGAGTACATTTTGGACTGATAGTATGTCAGAACTGCAGGAGAACATGGCTGGGGTCGCCATGACCTCGGGGCCTCATACTTTCATACTCGATCAGGCTGCAGTGGGCAGCACATTTGAATCCAGTTTACTTTTATAGATTTGTAATCAGAAATAAAATGAAATAAAAAAGTCTTCCTTACCGACCTAGTCAGCTTTGAAAAATTTAAGAAAAACAAACAATTTTTCCCTGTCCTTGTGTGAATCTAGGGATGCCTAAATATTAAACTTTAGTGGTAAGGGTGACAGGGACATCAATTGATGATAAAATCCCAACTAATTCCCTGCTTGTCAATTTCAGTAACTTCTTCTTCAAATGCTGGGGCAGTGGGTTATACAAAACTTGCAAATTTCTATGTCACTGGTGTTGCTCTATAGCTGAAATAATCCTGACGTGACGTTAAAGTTTAATTTGCCCAAGCTATGTCACTTGCAGATTATTTATTTTTCAGCCGCGAGACAATGTTGTAAAACTGGGGCAGTTTCCACCAATCATATCACTGAATGTTGGCGGAGTGGTGTACCAGACACGACTCTCCACACTTTTGAAGTACTCGGACTCCATGCTAGCGGCCATGTTCAGTGGCCGTCACGAGGTCGACCAAGACAAAGATGGCCACTACTTCCTGGACACCAACGGTGCCGTGTTTGGCCACATTCTGGAATACCTCCGCTACGGGACAGTTCCGCCGTTCGACTTATCCACCGCTGTCTACAGAGATGCCGAGTACTATGGCCTACACTCCATGGTTGAAAAGCTACAGCTTCGACCTGAAATTGCTTCTATTATCGTAAAAAAATCCCATCGATCCCAGTTTCCAGGGTACCAAGATGCCAAGCATGACGTCATCCGAGCAGCAGTTGCTAATGCATCGATTAACAGAATCGGTGAAGTATTGATATGTGCTTTCAGAACAGAGTTCAAGGCGAAAGCTCAGAACTTTAACCCCTTCCACGGATGCATCGTGGAATCAGCTCATGTTAGTATTGGGCCATGGGAAACACAAGCTGACGAAGAAGTGTTTATGAAATGTCTGGAAAATGATCTCATGGAGGATGGATTCAATGTCAAGCCACATGAGGGTAAACGGAAGTGTAAATATTACTATGGACAAACCTGTCAGAAATTTGTCTACAAGTTGCAAATCATATTTTACCCATTGGCACCAAGAACGTCTTCACTTGCTGCATGAGCACTGTTCACTGCACCGGGGGGAACACCATGAACGTCTCCACTTGCTAAGAGTGCACCTGTCATTGCATGGGGGAACACAATGAACATCTTGACTTGCTGCATGAGCACCGTTCATGGCACGGGGGAACACCATGAACGTCTTCACTTGCTAAGTGTGCACCTGTCATTGAGCGGAGAACGCCATGAACGTCTTGACTTGCTAAGAGTGCACCTGTCATTGCACGGGGGAACGCCATGAACGTCTTCACTTGCTAAGAGTGCACCTGTCATTGCACGGGGGAACACCATGAACGTCTTCACTTGCTAAGTGTGCACATGTCATTGCATGGGGAACACCATGAACATCTTAACTTGCTGCATCAGCACTGTTCATTGCACTGGGGGGAACACCATGAACGTCTTGACTTGCTGCAACAGCACCGTTCATTACACTGGGGGGAACACCATGAACGTCTTGACTTGCTGCAACAGCACCGTTCATTACACTGGGGGGAACACCATGAGCGTCTTGACTTCTCCACAGAGAGATTCAAGAAAAGAGTTGGTCCAAGTTCCCCATCTTATCAAAAGGGTAAATGAGGTGGCAAGATTATTGCACTTATGTAGCTACATGCATTCATGTACGGGTACATGTGCATGTGTGTGGCTGCTTGTACTACTCTGGATTAATGCTGATTTTACAGTGCTAGCCCACTAAGATACCATGCCGCAGTTTAACATGGATACCCTACTCAGACACATTAGACTGACTCTGAACAGACCAGTCCTTGTTTTAGCCCCTTAATGCCGAATGCCAGGCTGGGTAACAAGAAGTGCCCTTTTTTATTGTCATTTGATGTGTCAGGGTCCGGGGAACGAACCCCGGACCTTGTGCTCTACAGGCAGACACTCTATCCTCTAGGCAACGGAGGTCTATGATAGATTTATGATAAATATGTGATTACAATGTGTGACCCTAGTGGTTATGGGTCATCATGCTATGCTATGCTCATGCTATCAACCACTAGTATGCCCCGCCCAGACTAGATGATTTACATGCTGCGGTGATATAATGGTGATATTGCTGACTGTGGGGTAAAACAACATGTGGTCAGTCATCTTAAAAATGGTCTAGATTTAAAAAAAAAAATATTAATGAAAGTGAGTCAAAAAATGTTTTAGTTAAGGGAGCATCCATTTAATTTCAGAGGGTGTTGGGTGGCAAGATTTTTAAAATGAAAAGTCCATAAATATGCCCCAAATGAAAAGGTTGGTGGCAGTAGTGAAAAAAAGGAAAAGTTTGTTTTGTGGAAAATATCCAAACGTCATTTTTTGTGTTAATAGTGAAAATGAATGGATTGTTTGATGGTGCTTAGGAAATAAATAGTTTGTCACCGGCAGGATAAAAAGAGATTGTTCTCAGACCCATGCCCAAAATCTTTTTGGTGCTCTCTTATTAAGACTTCCATGTCTCTAAGTTTACGATAGTGATAAGTAGACAAGCCATCCACTGGTAGCCATCCAAGTCTCGGTAATGTCTGTAACAGAAGCAGGATCCAATGCTTCCGTTGTTTTGTTACTGTTCATACATGATATTTGTAGCTGATGGCTGTGAAGAAGTTTTACTGCTTTTTGATAAAATCCCATGAATGTGTTTTAGTAATACTGTTTTATTCCAGATTTGTTCTTCAGTTGAATTATGATTTATGAAGGAGCTATACTGTTGTGTAGATGTGGGCAAAGTGTACTTAATGAGAGCCGTCAGCTGTGTATGTACAGGATGATATGACACTGTTATGGATAACGACTTTATTATTGTTTGTAGCAATGTTTTAGAGCTACTTCAGCCCTCCATCAGGTGAATACTGATTAATTGTATTGAGTTAATCATGTTCATCATGTTAATATATATGCCTGTTCATCTCCCATTTGTCAGATACCCCATTTGTCAGACTACCCATTTGTCAGACACCTCATTTGTCAGACACCTCATTTGTCAGACTACCCAATTTGTCAGACACCTCACTTGTCAGACACCCCATTTGTCAGACACCTCATTTGTCAGACACCCCATTTGTCAGACACCCCATTTGTCAGACACCCCATTTGTCAGACACCCCATTTCTCAGACACCTCATTTATCAGACACCTCATTTGTCAGACACCCCATTTGTCAGACACCTCATTTGTCAGACACCCCATTTGTCAGACACCTCATTTGTCAGACTACCCATTTGTCAGACACCCCATTTGTCAGACACCTCATTTGTCAGACACCCCATTTGTCAGACACCCCATTTGTCAGACACCCCATTTGTTAGACACTCCATTTGTCAGACACCCCATTTGTCAGACACCCTAAAACAACTTTTATAGTTGAGGGCACATCAGGTGTGTGATATATTCCCTTAAATCCAAACAGACTGGTCCTGTCGTCAACAACTGTCTGACAACTGGTACAAAAGAAAACAAACTATATGCAAATCAATATTTATTCTTGATATATTATTACTTTATACTTTGGAATATATTGCTCAGTTAAAGAAGTTTTACACTTTATACATGAACTATAATACATAACATATACATAATATATAAAATGACCATCAATCATTATGAAATAGTAATATTTACTTCCACATCAATGTCAGTGTACTGTCAGTCATTCAAGCCAAAGTTGGAATGTAACCTGCTGCATCCAGAAATTGCACTATCTCACAAACTTCAGTGAAAACAAATATAGTTACAGTTTAACCAAGCCATTAAAACTGCAAAGAGATCTGTGTCATATCAATATGAGTAAAGGGGTGTTTGGCAGTTACAAAATATTCCAGTGTCTGACAACTGGGTGTCTGACACATGGAAGGACCTCAAATGCCTATCAAAGACTTGTATATGTATAATAGATATATACTGTTTGCTTGTTATGTTTATGACAATGCTCCATGATTTAGTGCCCAGTCAGGATTGGAATTGGCATGTTCCTTGCTCCCTGAGATGGGACTGTTTATGTATGTATGTGTTAGATATACTGTTGTATACTATTATTTATTGGTGTGTGAAGTGATGTGTCTGCCATCTTGTGATGTGTAGCAGAATTTTCTGACCAAGTTCATCATTATTGTTACCGTTATTTATATCATTTATAGACGTTCTGACGCCACATTGTTAAGATGTTTTAGTGTCACCAGTCTCCAATGTATGCATATATTTTTGTCACAGCCTAGTTATTTTGTATTTATATTACAACTTTTCCCTATTTTCATACACTGGTAATATCAAAAAGTAAATATGTTCACATCATTCCTCCAGTTGTTATGTGTTTGGTTTTGCCGAGTCATTAGATAACTATATAGTTCTGACAAACTCCCGTTATGATGGACACCCACCGTCTCAGAAAGGGGTCACAATGAACACCCATCTTCCCAGATAGGGATCACAATGAACACCAATCATCCCAGATAGGGATCACAATGGACACCCACCATGCCAGATAGGGATCACTGTGAACACCCACCAGGACTGACACCCACTGTCCGAGATAAGGGATCACAATGAACACCCATCATCCCAGACAGGGATCACAATGAACACCCATCATGACTGACATACACCGTCCCAGATAGGGATCACTGTGGAAACCCGTCATGATGGACACCCACCTTCCCAGATAGGGATCACTGTGGAAACCTGTCATGATGGACACCCACCGTCCCAGATAGGGATCACAATGAACACCCATCGTCCCAGAGAGGGATCACAATGAGTTCCAATCATCCCAGATAGGGATCACTATGAACACCCGACATGGTGGACACCCACCGTCCCAGATAGGGATCACAATGAACACCCACCGTCCCAGATAGGGATCACTATGAACACCCGTTATGGTGGACACCCACTGTCCCAGATAGGGATCACAATGAACACCCACCGTCCCAGATAGGGATCACTATGAACACCCGTTTTGGTGGACACCCACCGTCCCAGACAGGGATCACAATGAACACCCACCGTCCCAGATAGGGATCACTATGAACACCCGTTATGGTGGACACCAACCGTCCCAGATAGGGATCACTATGAACACCCACCGTCCCAGATAGGGATCACTATGAACACCTGTTATGGTGGACATCGACCCTGATAGGGATCACTGTGAACACCCACCGTCCCAGATAGGGATCACTATGAACACCCGTTATGGTGGACACCCACCGTCCCAGATAGGGATCACAATGAACACCCACCGTCCCAGATAGGGATCACTATGAACGCCCGACATGGTGGACACCCACCGTCCCAGATAGGGATCACTATGAACACCCGTTATGGTGGACACCCACTGTCCCAGATAGGGATCACTATAAACACCCGTTATGGTGGACATCCACCGTCCCAGATAGGGATCACTATGAACACCCGTTATGGTGGACACCCACCGTCCCAGATAGGGATCACAATGAACACCCATCATGATGGACACCCACACTCCCAGATAGGGATCACAATGAACACCCACCGTCCCAGATAGGGATCACTATGAACACCCGTTATGGTGGACACCCACCGACCCAGATAGGGATCACTATGAACACCCGTTATGGTGGACACCCACCGTCCCAGATAGGGATCACTATGAACACCCGACATGGTGGACACCCACCGTCCCAGATACGGATCACTATGAACACCCGTTATGGTGGACACCCACCGTCCCATGATCTGGATCACAATGAATACCCGTCATGAAGGACACCGACCACCACATCACGATTGGTATGGATCATGAACAACAATCTTGGGATATTGATCAAGAACAACCATCGCGGTGGGTGTGGATCATGATCATCAATCACGGTAGGCTTGGATCATGAACGACCATCATGGTAGGCTTGGATCATGAACAACCATCACTGTGGGTGTGGATCATGAACAACCATCATGGTAGGCTTGGATCATGAACAACCATCACGGTAGGCTTGGATCATGAACAACCATCACGGTGGGTGTGGATCATGAACGACCATCACGGTAGGATTTGATCATGAACAACCATCATGGTAGGCTTGGATCATGAACAACCATCATGGTGGGTGTGGATCATGAACAACCATCATGGTATGATTGGATCATGAACAACCATCACGTTGGGTGTGGATCTAGAACAACCATCACGTTGGGTGTGGATCATGAACAACCATCACAGTGGGTGTGGATCATAAACAACCATCACGTTGGGTGTTGATCATGAACAACCATCAGGTTGGGTGTGGATCATGAACAACCATCACAGTGGGTGTGGATCATGAACAACCGTCATGGTAGGCTTGGATCATGAACAACCATCACGGCAGGCTTGGATCATGAACAACCATCATGTTAGGCCTGGATAATGAACGACCATCACTGTAGGCTTGGATCACAAACAACCATCATGGTAGGCTTGGATCATGAACAACCATCACGGCAGGCTTGGATCATGAACAACCATCACGGTAGGCCTGGATAATGAACGACCATCACTGTAGGCTTGGATCACAAACGACCATCATGGTAGGCTTGGATCATGAACAACCCTCATGGTAGGCTTTGATCATGAACAACCATCACGGTGGGTCTGGATCATGAACATATACTCCTCACAAAAAGTTAAGCAACAAATCTATTATGTGTCAGTCCATGTTCATATATTCCAATAACTAAATACTGACTAAAGCAACACAAAGAAAGAGCACAAACACACATTGTCCTCAAAGGGAACTGAAAAGCGTTTATGCCTAACAGGTTTACAAATGATCAAAAACAGTATCATGAAAACAGTCGTGCAAAATGTGCTGCACTGAAAGATGAAAATCTTTAAATTTGAGTTTAAGTCATTTTGAAACAATGATCCAATGTTCAGTAACGTGTATGTCCACTATTGGCTTGAATGCAAGCTTCTACACGTCTTGGCATTGACCAGATAAGCCTATCAAGTGTCTGTTGTGGAATGTTCTGCCATTCTCTCCTTAAGGCCTGTTCAAGTTGATCCAGGTTCTGAGGACGAACATGAAGACCATAAACACGCCTTCCAAGAATGTCCCATGCACACAATGTCCACACACGTGCCCTACCATCGTTGAAGTCAAGGCAGAATCTTGACTTGTCTGTGAAGAGAACGTTACGCCAGCGATTCACCCTCCAGTTACGACGTTGATCGGCCCAAGCAAGTCTCTGTTGTCGATGGTGTGCAGGCAGTGGGATACGTCGTACTGGTCGTCTGGACCTCAGATCCTGAGCGTGAAGTCTGTTTCTTACTGTCTGTGTTGAGACTCTGTTTCCTGCAACTCTCTGAAGGTCATTCTGGAGAGCCCGGCCGTAGTAAACCTGTTTCTCCGGGCTAGGGTGGCTAAATATCGGTCCTCACGAGGAGTTGTCACCCTTGGATGACCTGTGCGTGGTCTCTCTGTCATCAGTCCAGTTTGATGGTATCGAGTTATCGCTCTTGAGATGACACTGCGGTGAACATTAAAATGATTGGCAACAGCAGTTTGGGTGAGACCCCACTGTACCATTCCAACAATCTGAGCAACCTCAGTTGGCGTTAAGTGACGCCTAGCCATGTCTAAAGTGTTAATTTCTACAAATTGCCCTTGCTGGCAGTTTGTAAGCAATCAGGGTGCATGGGTGAAGTGTGTAAAACATGCATGTCGTGCATTTTGCATGTGTGTTTTGAGGGTGGTTGTGTTCAGGCGATGTTATCAGTGTTAGCAGGAAAATCTACATGGAAAAGGCTTTAATTCGAGTATTCGTAGGTAATTCTCCTGCCTGAATTTGTTCTAAGTGGATGGCATTCAACACTGATGAGAATGTTGCACGGAAAATAATACTTGTTGCTTAACTTTTTGTGAGGAGTATATTTTTGTTTGTTATTCGTCCTGGAATGGTTCAATTTGACATACACCTTCGACTTTCCTTATTTAGTCTCAGTGGCGTGGTCTCCTAAGCGCCCTTTCAGTAAACCTCTACCTGGCTATATGCAGGCAGCAGCATGGAAACGGGTCTTTGCCTTCATTGCTTGTTCCTGGACCATCAGCATTGCGATCAGCAGCCCCTACACAGTTGACCTCAAGTCACGTTCAGGTATCTTGTACATGGATATAACGCCCTCCAACTGTTGGTTCCATCTTCTGATGGTTCTCAACATACTGCTCATCCCAATTTTCACAGCAGCGGCTTGCTAACTGTGAATTCGGTCCTTTATGAAATGTCCTACCATGTCCACCATAGGTCGTCACAACATGAATAAGCTGCAGCTTTCTCAGATGGTCCACATCATGACCATCATCTACCTCCTCACCTTCATCCCCCTCTTTATCATCATCTCCGCCAAGGTTCAGATACAAGGTGTCAAGGCAGTTTTCCGGGCTGTTGACTCTTCCTAGAACGTCCTCAAGCTATTTCTTTACTTCAAGCTGTACAGACCTGTCATTAACCGTGTAGGTCCCACACAACAGTAACGAGGTGTCACTGTCCAAACTGCTGGGAACAATGTAGCTGACAGTCACTTTGAAAAACAGTTGAGTCAAGTACTTAGTGGAATTTAGTACCGTCTGGTGCCTCGTCCCTAGTGGTGTTTAGTACCTACTGGTGCTTCGTCTCTAGTGGTGTCTAGTACCTACTGGTGCCTCGTCCCTTGTGGTGTCTAGTACCTACTGGTGCCTCGTCCCTTGTGGTGTCTAGTACTTACTGGTGCCTAGTCCCTTTTGTTGTCTAGTACCTACTGGCGCCTAATCCCTTGTGGTGTCTAGTACCTACTGGTGCCTCGTCCCTAGTGGTGTCTAGTACCTACTGGTGCCTCGTCCCTAGTAGTGTCTAGTACCTACTGGTGCCTCGTCCCTAGTAGTGTCTAGTACCTACTGGTGCCTCGTACCTAGTAGTGTCTAGTACTTACTGGTGCCTCGTACCTAGTAGTGTCTAGTTCCTACTGGTGTCTTGACCCTAGTGGTGTCAAGTACCTACTGGTGCCTGGTCCCTAGTGGTGTCTAGTACCTACTGGTGTCTCGTCCCTAGTGGTGTCTAGTACCTACTGGTGCCTTGTCTCTAGTGGTGTCTAGTACCTACTGGTGCCTGGTCCCTAGTGGTGTCTAGTACCTACTGGTGCCTAGTCCCTAGTGGTGTCTAGTACCTACTGGTGCCTGGTCCCTAGTGGTGTCTAGTACCTACTGTTGTCTCGTCCCTAGTGGTGTTTAGTACCTACTGGTGCCTTGTCTCTAGTGGTGTCTAGTACCTACTGGTGCCTGGTCCCTAGTGGTGTCTAG